GTATTTGATGCAGGCATCATAGTTGTATTTTTTACCTTATACGTTTGCAGTGTTTCGGCGACTATTTTCAGCCAAGTAACGTTTTGACAATGTTTGTAAGTTTTGGGTCAAATCCAATTTTCCAGTGTGTACTTTCTTTTTGCCTGGTATAGCTTACTTTAGAGTGAGTGAGTTTGGTTTTACGCCGCTTTTAGCAATATTCCAGCAATATCACGGCGGGGGACACCAGAAATGGGCTTCACACATTGTACCCATGTCGGGAATCGAACCCGGGTCTTAATTCGGCGTGATGGGCGAACGCTTTAACCACTAGGCTACCCGACCGCCCCAGTTTACTTTAGAGTCGCCTCGAACACCCAAAGCGTGGGCTTGTTACACCGAGACTACATGATGTCATATTATTTGACTTTTGGCTTCTGATCATTAGATTATTACATAAGGCGTTTGTTGTTTCTATCAACTCGACTTGTTCAAATCACTCATAAGAATATGGTTTGACATGCTGATGTCATCAGAAATACCATGTCGATGGTATAAGGCCATGAAGACCACTCTACCTTTCATTTGAGTACCTTAAATTTTGAGTACCCATTATCACATTGTTTTTTTACCATAAAACGTCCACTGCTAGACTGGTGTCTTGACACCTGACCTCTGATGCGCCACCTACCAAGCGGCTGGCGTGGACATCACTCAACCCAGCCAAGTGGAACCAGACGTCCTGCTGTGCTGGTCGAACTGTACACTCCAGCAGCCGGTCCGAGTTAGCGTGTGAACAGACCCACCCGACAATAACCGGGTGGTGGACTTAAATTCCTTTTGGATATACGACGTGGATTTACATTTGCTTATTCAACGAAAAAAAAGATGTCATAGACAAGGTAAGAGATTGACACAGTTTTATATCTAAACGGGGAAAAAATAACTTTGAATACAAGATTATTGTGCATTCTTCAAGATGTTTATATCATATTTACAGCATGGTATTAATGTTTCTGTGATGGGTAATGGTGAACTTTATATGGTGACCACTATCTGACCTCTGAACCTAGTACCACACGGGCAGGGTGACTGATGGATTTCAAATTCTTTATTCTTTCAATGGGACCTTTCGGTTAAACGTTTGATCAATTTTCTGTTTAATTGGCATTCTAGAAGTTGGTGAGTTAATAGGAAAACATACAACTTTATGGATAAAAACTTCTGTTTTATTGCATATAACTGCGTAGATTCTTACACCGTTGTCGCTCCAAATTGATAACGTGTATCCACTTTGAAATGTCGCTACATGAAATAAACCAGAAGTTGTTACGTTTTCCTATTAACTTTCACAATACTTGTTGTTTGTTTGCTGTTTTACGCCGCACTCAGCAGTATTCCAGCTATATGACGGCGGTCTGTAAATAGTCGCGTCTGGACAAGACAATCCAGTGATTGATATCATTAACATCGATCCACACAATATTGGGATACAATGACATGCATCAACCAGGTCAGCAAGCCTGACTACCCGATCCCGCTGGTCGCCTCATACGACAAGCTTAGTCTCCTTTTACGGCAAGCATGGTTGCTGAAGACCGGATCTTCACGGGAAACTTTCATACACAACAACCGCCGTGACGTTGCTGGAATGTTGTTATACAAGCGGCGTAAAACCGTATTCATTCCACAGCAACTTTACCTACCACGTACTTCTAAGTCTATATTACTAATACCACTTCAATATGACTATTAACAACTATCCGTTTCTACTACTACTACAGGGGCGAAGGGGTAGCTTAGTGGTTAAAGCGTTCGCTCGTCACGCTGAAGACCCGGGTTCGATTCCCCCACATAGGTACAAGGTGAAGCCCATTTCTGGTGTCCCCCGTCGCGATGTTTCTGGGATATTGCTGAAAGGAGCGACGTAAAATCATACTCACTCACTACTACAACTACTGATACAAAAGACCATTTTGTCGTGTGTCCTTTGGATATCAGCTCGACTCGTTTTGGTACAAGGGATATTTTACTTCTTAAAAGGTAGATTTTATTCATGTATGACTAAACCAAAATCTTATGTTATTTTTTAATTAACTGTGTTATTATTGCCAGTCATGCTCAAGTATACTCCGATCATAGTGTTTTGAAGAAGATTAAGAGATATTTGATCTCAGACGGAAACATCAATCAGATTAAGAAGATAACACCTTTTCCGACAATTACGCTCTGTAAACGATATTACGTGAAAAACAAAGGATCTCCTTTCATGACATCCGAAACCGTTTATCACTAGGGTACATACAATAGTATTCATTAACACCTGAGGAAAACAACTCATTCAGTAGCGGCGCAGTGCTTTGATCACCTGTAGCGCTACCTGGAGGCTAATTAGGAGTGTAAACACAGTTCTCACAAATAAACATCTGTATTACACACGCTCTAAACTTGGAGACTGGCCATAATTCGTTGTAATGTTATGCAAGAGATCGTTTAATGAGAAATCCTTATACACGAGAAAGGGACTGGTCTACTCATCCGATGTTTTAGTGTTTAATGATGGATGTCAGCTGTTGAGGCAGCCATCAATAATGACAGCTGAAGATTTGATTGTCGCCATGATATCCTGCTCTGTTGTGTATACGTGTGAAAAAAAGGTACATTGATCCTTCGGTACAATGACTATTGTGTTTAATTTGTTTTTAAAGTGCTAACGATGGAAACGTTCCTATAATATACTCTATAAGTTAAAACATTCTTGCATGTGAATATACATCAACTGAATAAATTTGTCTATATGTGAATATATCCGAAGGCCACAAAAGAGCATATGTAAGTCATTGTTGTGTTATATGAGTATATGATGACGTCTCGTAAACAAAATGTATGTACATACGTTTCTCTATCTCTTTTCTTTCCTTTCTGTCATTTAATTTATTAACTGTAAATAAGCATACATGTAAATCTATGAGAGAGGGCGTTCTAAGTTGTGATTACTTGTGCTGAGTCCTTTTCATGAGAATAAAATATGTTTAAAAACCCAGATACATTAAACTTGCTATGTGAGTGAGTAAGGCTTTACGCCGCAATATTCCACTAATATCAGAAATTGGCTTCACACATCGCACCCATGTCGGGAATCGAGCCCGGGTCTTCGGCGTAACGAGCGAACGCTTTAACCACTAGGCTACCCGACCGCCCCGAAACTCGCTATGTACACACATGACTAATATTTAAATAAAGTAACATTTTTTAATAAGGGAAAAGGTGTGTTTAAAAAGTTAAAATTGTACAAATATGAAAAAAATGACTGATATGGTTTAAACATATTTTCATTTCGACTGAAAATTGGGATCGGTAAACAAAACAGCGCTTATTTGAATACCTCTCCCTAAAATAGCAATCAGGATTAGTAACAAAGATAGTTAAGGTGTTTACATAATATTTACAAAAATAATACCTTGGTGGTCTCAAGCGTGATTAGCAGTGTCCGGTTTTGATAGTCAGAATAATGGGGTTATCCGTAATATTAAGTACTGCATAATGTACACAAGATACAAATATAATATATGTGAGGGTTTGGTGTATTATTTAAGTTATTGACTGATATTATTTTTCATTGTCAAATTAGCCCGACGCAGTACAGAACATAGCATTATTTCTCACAGGCTGATATACTCGTACAAACGCATAACAAATACAAATAACATGATTGCGGAATATTATGATAATATTGCCTAGTTGTGAGTTTTGCACATTTTAAAATATAAAATAGCATATTCGGTCGAACTGAATAACATATAGGTAGATATAACTTACGTTTAGATGTTAAATATGGACACACAAAAATGTAATGATATTCATTTCCAATATCAGATAAATTTCAAAGAGTACTTGTGTGCGCGCTATAGCGGGGGAAGCTGCTACTTACGCCTAAATTGTTCGGATGCCCATACTTATTATCCATTGGTCCATATAGTATACAAATCGAGTTAAAGACAGTGACAGTTTATTAAGGCGTATCCAATTATGCAGGCTTGAAATATTTACAAACATATATTTAAATCGAGCATGTCAAACATTTCGCTACACAAATCTGTGCAAAAATAAACATAGCTCCCACTAACTAAATAGTGTTCTCTAGTGACAGGTACGTATTTTTACTAATTAATTTCCCGTCAATGCAAATCACCTGTCAATGTAATTAGCAAAAACAACACCAGCGAAGTTCCGCAGCGTCGATAGACATGACAACCCACGTGTCAGTCTGAGGGTACACCCAAGTCTGATACTAACGATATATTTACACTGCTCGAAATTAGCAGTCATTATAAGACAAATTCTTTTAATTAATTAGCTCGTGAGATATCAGACGTACTGACGTATACCTGAGTATTTAGGTGAAACACCATGACACGCGTGCACATTGAACACGTGAAGCTCGTAACACGCACAGCAATTTGCATGATGTTTAACAGTAAAGTAGCTTAAGAAGATTCACGACGAAGCGCGTAGATCAGTTTCGTTTTTACACATGATGGATACAGTTAATTTTCTGGTGAGTGTTTTATTGAACAGCTTTCCTTCCTGGTAAAGTTTCTGGAAGTACTCGTGCTGTATAAACAAAATTCTTATAATTTCAGTACTGGAATTTAATAGAAGTGTATGTTTTTACTTTTATATGTACATATTTTGAACATTAATAACATCTTTGTCAAGTTTTTGGATGCAAAGTCCATGCTAGATCGCATTTTTGTGTGGGTTGTATTTTTACATTTTATATCATAATACGTATTATTTGATGTCCTTATTTATGTATTATCAAGTTTAGTTTTGCTTCATAATCTTTTAACAAATAAACTTTTAAAATTATACAAGAATAAGGGTGAAAAAGTCAGAAACGACAGTCCATCAACTTGTCATGGCACCCCTAGGCGCGTATGTTCATGTCTCGTGTGAAAAGGAAAAGTCCACCTGTCAATCAAACGACCGGAAGTTATCACTCACAGGGCCTTCTGGGAAGGACGCGAAATTTGAAAATGGCTACAGATGAAATCGACAAGATTTTCTGTTAGTAAACAATGGCAATGTAGTTTAGCATCGTGTTTCTCATGAACATGACTGAATCGTCAAAGGGAGGAAGCAAAATAAGGTTTGTGTGTTATTGTGGATAATTCATATGTGGTTTGTATGCCTCAACTTAGTAGTAAGCGAACAAAGCAGGTGCTCCCCGTGAGATAAATGTTTTGTAGATGGCGACATTGACTGATCTATCTGGACATCTCATTCTTCCAACAAGCGCTATGATATGTCGATCTATCCGCCTTGGCGTTTCAAGAGATTTGTCTTTATATTTGTCATCTCATATCCATCTTCTGAGTGTGAATGAAACAAGTAATGTCCACGATAATGCCTGGAACCTGTACGATGAGCTAGCGATTGTTTTCATTTCATCAAAACTTTCTTCTGTATTGTCTATTGTCTTTCTTACCATCCAAATAGAACTTATGTTGTTGAAACAATGTTTCGCCGATCGTCATGAAGGATATGTGTTTGCATTTTTCATATTTGATGTACTACTTGTACATATTGGTCTTATTCATCAGATCCCAAACCTAGGAAGATGAAAATAATGTGTTCTCACAAGCACCATCCCATCCATGTGACTTATACATGGAGTAGTTTTCTCTAAACATATTGTTTGTTGCAAGGTTAATTTAGTAAGATTTTCAAAGATGTACCAGTACTCTTGAACATTTATCGTGGGTGGTTCGGAAACAACCCAGGATTTAACATGATGCAGAAATGTGTGTCTATTCCCAAATTTAAAGAATGAATACAGCAAAGAATATTGAATACCAAGCAATGCACAATAATATTCATTGTACCAAATTCGTGACAAAAATATAAAGATCCTGTAATTCAAAATAATTATGTGAACTTACTGTACAGTATCACTTCACGATTATTTCATTACTTTAAAAGGCCCTAGCTCACGTTCCCGTAAGGACCCTTGAACATGTTGAAGTTAGTTATTGGGAGTCCCTTGTGTCCCAAGTTTTGTAGGCCAAGGTAAAACCATGCAAACCTGACAATTTTTTAATATCTGCAAACATGTCTGACTGATAGTGGTAGAGAAGACTACTAATTTCTGACAAATAGCTTTAAATTGTCTATTCATAAAGATGTATGTGTGTATAATGATTGTGATGATGACACTGAATACATCATAATGATATTGGCAACGTTCCAAAGGCGAAGGTCTGTTTTGGGGATGGACCATTATGGATATGAGGAATTGAATGCCCATAGATTACAATGGTCCAGTTGACATAGTTCCATCCTATTGTCCCTGTCTCCTGTTGTCCATTTCGCAGACCACTGACCCTTAGGGATGAATAAACACAGTGACACATGAATACCTTTTGGGTTGGATAGAAAGTCTGACAAGGGTCGGTTGCGTTCAGAATTTGTAAACATCAGTTGACTGTGACAGACTAAATTGCCTCAAATTGGGTTGTATAAATTAGAAGGAGGATTTGCTTGGTGGACCAACTATGGTTGCAATAGTGAAAGGAGGGTCAGCGGTCATTAGAATGCGCTGATGCAGCAGGGTCTCATGGATAAATTGGAAAGTTGATTTCAAACAGCATGTCTAAGATTGAACTGATACGGGAAGAATTTGTAACTTGAGATAAGAATACATTTTGAAACACAACTAAATATAGACTTACAACAATAGTAGAGACAAGATCACTTTGGAAAACAGGGCCCTGAGTTTCTTAAAAGTAAACCCATTTGCTAACATTTTCACAATTAAATTTACCTCATGGTAAAAAGTTCTTGCAATCACAGAAAAAGCAAACATTTTCTTCAGTGTTGCTAAAGAAATTTTTAACATTGAAATATTTTGGTTCACAGACTCCAGCAAAGACTATATTAACTAAAAACCTCAGTAGATGAAAAGGACAGGAATAAGATTGTGTTGATGTACTTCCAGATTGATAGTTAAGCAATTTTAAGGTACTATTGAAATGGTTACATTTTATTTTGAAAGTTGGCAGTGATATGTTACTGAAACATTGCAAAGTGTAAATAAAGAAGTTGCTTTCTGTGCCGTTGTAGTGGTCGAAACTAAGAAGGAAAGTCCACACTGATATTGCTTGCAAGTATTGTGTTGTATTCAGATACTATCTGGGGTTATATTATAAAGAATTAACTGGCACAAAAAACAGCTTCAACAACTTGTTTTGGTTATTGGTTAGTCGCACTGATTAAGCTTGTCCGCTTATATCCTGAAAATTGTTATTTATTAATGGGTGTAACGGCGGTAGAAACTAACATTTTTAGTCCACTAGTCCTCTTAATGATAACATCTAGCAAATCCTTAAAAATGGCAAATTTCTACTACTCCTTATGATACCTTAACCATTGGACAGTTTTGCAAGGACTACAGGACTAGTGCCAGTTTCTAACCCTGGAGTAACCGGGGACATAAGTATTGTAAAATGGAAGCTCTGAATGGAAAACAGAGTTGCGTCCCTTGGGCACGCCAGAAACCAATGATTGTGGGTTTAAATCCCGGTTCACCCCGATTATGTTTCTAGGTTTGTCAGCACCATAAACGTGCTCATGGGTTTCACCAAAGTGGTAAAGTAAACGTCTGAGACCTGCATTGCTTCGGGCTTTCCTCCCACATCAAGCTGACACACCGTGATATAACTGGAATACTGTTAAAAGCGCGGTTACACCCAACTCACTCTGAATGGAACACAGATCAGCGTTAGAAATTGGCACTAGTCCTATAGTCCTTACCAAACTGCCAAATAGTAAAGGTATCCTGAGGACTAGTAGAAATTGGCCCATTTTAAGGGTTTTGCTATATGTCATCAATATAAGGACTAGTGGACAAAAACTGTTAGTTTCTAACCCTGTCAGATTCTATCGTGCAGTACAATGATGCCCAACATGCCCGATGTGTACATATTGCATCTGTACATATGTCATTACATTTATTTATTTCTCTTTTCTTTTTACCAGTGAATGTGGGGAGCCTGGCCTGTCTGACGACGAGAATGAGGTTTTCTTTGGCGAAATCACCCAGCGGGAGAGACGTCGTGCAGTGAAGTATTCTCGTCGCCGCACTGTTCTCTACATTCCTGGATTCAGGAAAGACAAGAGTTTAATGAGATACAGCCAAGAGTTCACCCCAGACGGCCCCTTCATCTATGCGCACGAAGAAGTAACCTCGGATGTGTGTGTGAGTGAGAGTTCATCCGACACATCACTGACCAAACACAAGGAAGTCTCTGAGGAAGACAAAGACATTGTTGTGAAGAAGCTGTTTGCATCTTTGACTGAACCAGCTGCAGGGGATTGCGAGGAGGGCGGGGAGTCTGGTGCTTCGAAGCTGTCCTCGCCGACCGAGCCTGCATCTAGCGAGTCTGCCATGAGTTCCCCCTGCATCATGGAAGGAGGGGGGGAGTGTATGGCCATGGACCACTGTAGCAGTTTTTTGTCAAAGAACATTGAAGCCTCCAGCAAACTCTTCGACAGTGGAGTTGACTGTGGGGTCGGAGACTCCGTGCTTTTCTCATCCAAACTCTCTGAATGTGCATCGTTAAGGATCGAGTCTGGACTCACCATTCGTGAGAAAGACTCCAAGTCAGTGCTATCAAACTTCTCCGAAAATGACAATAGGGAAAATGATGAGATGGTTTTTGCTCGGCCACACAGCAGAATGGCGTTCGCTCATTCATCTCAAATTGCTTCCATGAGTGACAATGTTCTGTCAAACACCCTCCCACGGAAGTTTGGACACTCTTACCATGCTGGGACTAACTATGCAGGTTCATTCTTGTCCGATATGGAGCATGGCGAGAGTGTGAGTGACATCAGTGATGTTGATGGATTTAAAAGACCTTTCCGACTGCACGGGGTGTTTGTTGGTACACAGACTTGTCAGACCAACATCAGCACACCACGTGTTGCCTCTACAGCATCCAACTTCCCTTTCTCAAGTCCGCATCTCCTAGTCAGTCCCATAGCAACATACAAAGCCAACCCTAGTAACAGAGACACTGAATCGGTTGCCTCTTCACAAAGTTCTGACTCGACTCCGTCCAAGTTGGTGAAGAGTAAAGTCAGTGCTTTCTCCTCATTCCCAGCTTCCACTGCAGTCAGAAGAAGTCTTCGCAAGAAGAGCATGGAAGATAGCAGTGTTAGTGTGTTGCCAGAACCAAAGATTAAGATGGCCGACCTGGATCCAACAAAGGGTGATTCTTGTGTAGGGACCAGTGATGTGGTTACATCGTGTGGGAACACTACATGTCCAAGAGTGCCGGACTCGCTGGTATCCCATATCTCGATGGATGAGAGCAGTTGTGCAACCAATAAACCAGCAGTACCACCTAAACCTGTGATGACCACGACATCCACCCAATCAGACTATCTCTCTCTACCGTCCACACTGGCTGGTCAGCAATTACTTCTTGTCAAGAGCTCGGAACTGGCCAAGGGGCAGCTAGAAAGTTCTCCCGAGTCCCTCGTTTCTCAGTCGTCTTGGTCAGATCTGAAACTGTCCGCTCTGGGTATCAACAAAGAGCGTTTGTGTTTCGCCACAGTGTCGTCAGATTCATCAAGTCTTCAAACACAGAGTGGTGATACAAATTTGACATCATCATCAGATGTTCATAAACCCGATTTAGTCAGTGAAAGTGAAAAACCAGTGGGTCAGAGGTCGTCGGAGGAGGAGGTTCTAGAATCTCTGGGAAAGAAACAAGAGACTGAGAATGTGACTTCGTCTTCCCCATCTACGGAGTGTGAGCTGGGCATGAACACGGAGTACTTCACCCTCAATGACAATGAAGCAAGCACGCCAGACTTATTCAAATCTCACAGATGTGATGATTATGTTGATGGGGAATTTAGTGGCGATACCCAGTCACAGACTGACGAACAAGACGAGGATGCAGGCCCATCAGAACTAGACACTTTGCTCCCCGGACCTGATTGTGAAACAACGTTGCTTGACAAAGATTACTCCCCCGTCAAAGGTCGTAGTTACGAACGTCTTCAGAAACAACTTAAAAATCGTCCAGGGTTGGTCTGGCCGAATCGATACATGACCGATTCGGAAAGCAGCGAAACAGAAGACAACGGTGAACATTCTTTCGACAGTGGCAGTTCGGATTCATCACTCCTGGACTACAGTGCATCCGATTCATTCGAAGCGATGAGTCCACCACCCAAACCCGAGCCAGTCATCATCAATGATGGGAAGCTGAAACCATGGCGACCACCAGGTCACGTGGAGGTCAATGTTAAAAAAAGCTCTGAAGGCAAGTTCTTGTCGCGAACAGGCTTTCAGGCAAGACTTAGAAAAATAAAGGAAATGACAGGTACTTATGTAACCTTACCGTCATGGATCACTGCATGACTTTGGGCTTAATTTACCCCCTTTGTCTTTGTTTACAATTTGTTTTCATATTTTCTTATACCATTTTCCTCTCCTTTCTACTGTAATACCTGAATTACCACAACAAATACTCCTTAATTCTGAACGCCAATCAGTGTCAATGGGTGGTTATGTAATGGCTTTTTAGAAAGACCCTCAGGCGTGGAAATTGTTATGATGCTTGGAGGATTTTGAACAATAAGAGCATTGTGTTTCCTTAACTTGCTCATCTACATGAAACAACAGATTCAGGGGTAGTGTGGAACATATTTAGTCCACTACTTCTTATAAGATAATAATGATATAGCAAACATATTGCAAAACCCTGAAAAAATGGCCAATTTCTACTAATCCTTATGATACCTTAACTATTGGGCAGTTTGGCAAGGACTACAGGACTAGTGCCAATTTCTAACGCTGCAGATTGTTTTGTTCATCTCCAGAAAAACCTCAGTGCCACTATAAAGCTTTAAACTTGCACTTCTGAAATTAGCTGATTGGAGTTTGAAAACCAATAATGTCCCGAGAGAAATCAATACAGACATAACTTTTCGTGTCAGTTTTTAAAAAACAAAAATGGTGTAAGAAAATGATTTTATCTCGGAGGGAAACCTGAGCTTATAAAGTCACTGTTTTGTGAAGTTTCCAAAGATAAACTTGTAAAGAGTGTTATCTTTGATAACTTTATGAAAAGGTGCATTTGATTAATTTAGGTTTTCCTTCAGTGATTTCTTTACATTCTGTGATGGGCATACAGAAGATAATGCATGCAGTGATATTTTGCACTCAGTTACTAGGCACTCTCCATCGGGTTAACAGGCAAGTAACTCACAGTCTAAATTATATTTCTTCTTCTTCAGTTAAAGGAACCAAGAGAGGATCAAGCTTCAAGTTTGGAAGTTTGTCCGGCAACAAAGAAAACCAGGCCAAAGGAAAATTATACCCTAAGGTGAGCACACAAAAACATCTCACTCACTCACTCACTCACTCACTCACTCACTCACTCACTCACTCACTCACTCACTCACTCACTCACTCACTCACTCACTCACTCACTCACTCACTCACTCACTGTTCAATTATTGAGATCAGCTTTTGTTGTGAGTCATGCACACAATAACATCTACAACACTCACTCACTCACTCACTCACTCACTCACTCACTCACTGTTGTTCAATTATTGAGATCAGCTTTTGTTGTGAGTCATGCACACAATAACATCTACAACACTCACTCACTCACTCACTCACTCACTCACTCACTCACTCACTGTTGTTCAATTATTGAGATCAGCTTTTGTTGTGAGTCATGCACACAATAACATTTACAACACTCACTCACTGTTGTGAGTCATTTTTCATACTCTGCAAGTCAGCTACCTTTTCACCAAATAAATATGGCTGAGATACTGCCGATGTGACGTAAAACTTTAACTCACTCACTCACCAAATTATTGTGTTCTTAAAGAGATGTTTTTCTTCCAGTCTCCGCTCCCAAAGAACGACAAGTCAGAAAAAGACAAGAAAAAGACACCCTGTCGTAGAAAGAAGAAGTCTGATATGGTAGATAAAGCTAATTGCTTCAACATATAAACAGCTCTTTTTATGACATCTTTGTGCATCATACCTTATTCTCAAATAAATTGATGCCAAAGGACCGTTTGGCGTGAGTTAATATTTAACGTCACATAGGCATTATTTCAGCCATATTGCGATTAGTTTATCTGTGAAGTTATTACTTTATGATCAGTGTTCAAAATTAAGCATAAAAATCAGGGAGTCCTTGTCATCGACAGTTTCTCTATTTCTATTTCACTGTCAGTAAGTGGAACATCTTTCTCTTTTCAGACGGAGTTGGAGATTGACGAAATGACGAAGCTACACACCATGTGTAACGGACAGCGAGTGGTCCGCTACCTCAACTTCTCCGAGTCCCCCATGATCATCAAGCATTATCCTGGTAAGATCAACCTCTTCTCATCGCTATGGTAACGTGAGATTCAAACATCTTATGTATTCACATTACATGGTAGCTAATACATGTATTAATGTAAATCCAATTGATTTGAAAAGGCAGGATTTCCAAAGTCATTATCCAAGTTACTCTCAGTTTATTTTGACAATCTTATTTACAGCACTGTCTAATTTTCCCCATTAGACAGTTTTTTTCACAGATACCGTATTCTACATCATTAGCGCCCAGGGAACTCTCAAAATTAGAAATAGGGGGCTCTTATTAGAATATTATTTTGGTGAAGAAAAAAACAGTTGAAAGATTATTAATTTTGTGGTTTATGCTGACAGCCTGAAATGTTTATATACGACAGATATATTTTTCCAGAATTTAATTGCCCATAATTAAGGGTGCATACTACACACAAGTGCATATTATACATGAATAAATTTAAGTCTTGTGTACATTGATCAATCGGAAGGGGTGCTAATTGGGATTGTTTACTTGCCAATATATTAGCAAATATCGCTGTGGACACTTATTTGAGTGGGGCGCTTATTACATCGAATATGGTATAGAATAAAATTATACACAATCAAAAGGGTAGGGAGGTGTGATTTAAATTTTTGTCTTTCATTTATTTTTTTTGTCATTAATCCTTCTGATCATTTTGATTTTCTTTCTATTTTTTTCACAAAATTGTAAAAAATGGACAATATGATGAATCTAACTTTGATTAATGTTTTTGTAGCTCCCAAGGAAGCTTCTAAACTCAGCTGGAGCAACACCCTGGCCAACAGTGATCTGTCGTATCACTCCCCAACTCGCACATCATCTAAACCCTCAGCGAGGCCCATACTCACACAGGTCAGTGGCTCCTGCCATTCTTCCAGCAGGTCAACTAACACCATCATACAGTGTATGTCAGTGTTTTCTGAGAGACATTTTAGTATTCTAGTATTCAGAAATATACATGTACAGGGTTAAACATGACAGATACAAAACCTATATTTCATCATTGGCATAAATTCTGTAATTTGGCATTCATGACACTATGAAATCTTCAGATTTTCAACAGAAGTCCTTTTTACTGTCAACTATCCATAATCAGTTGTGCATGTAATAGTATCTTGTTGCCCAAGATTTTTGAACAGGGGCAAGGTGGTAAACCTCACTTCTCTCTCCTGTCTGTGCTAGCAAAAACATGTAAAAGATTTTTCATGTCTCCTGTAAGACATATAAGTATTCTAGTATTCAGAAGTATACATGTTCAAGGTTAAACATAACGATTATCTTTGAGGCAGTGTGGTAGCCTTGTGGTTTAAGGTGTGTGATCATCATGGCAAAGGGCTGGGTTCGATATCCATTAATAGAATGTGCAAACCAATTTCTGCATCCCCTGCCTCGATATTGCTGGAATATTGCTAAAAGTGTCATAAAGCAATATACTCAGCAACTTATCTGTTTAACTGAATGATAATCATGATCTATTTTCTCCTCCAGCGACCTCTGAACCACACCTACCCATACAGCGACGATGTCCCATCACCAATCATCTTGACGAGGACACGACGAACACACACACTGTCACAGAGGGTAACACAGCTGTGACCCCACATGTGTGTCCGAAACTCACACATCTGTCTCGACACTCCATCATTTCACAACACTGGGCTCTTCGCTGCTGAAACTGTCAGCGACAATCTTCCACCACCATCCTCTTTACATGAATACTAGAGACATCTTTGTTCACCAGCATTTAGGTTTTTGTTGATAATTTGAGCTTTAGCTTTTGACAAGACCAGATTAGTTTTTTTATTTTGATAGTAGTTACATTTCGTATCTGTATTAAATGAAATTTGGGATATGCTTTGGGAGAATACTCTCAAGATCTAGTCATTATCTTTCTGTAGATGTCAGTTGTGATAGCTTCTCTTGAGTAATATTGATAAAACTATAACTATTTCACCTCATATTACAAAGTCATTTTCACTCATACGTTAACTTTTAGCCAAAAATGTATTTAAACAATCATAACAGAAAACTATACAATACTATATTCTATATTTCATATCGGCTTTTTAAAATTCATGGGTAACTGAATCTTTGTAGTTCTCCCTTCAGTCAGGGATGAGAATTTATCGCAGATTTCGTTGTCAAGGGTAATATTTGTGATACATGCCATTACAATATACACAAATAGGATATACTTCCCTAGACCCCGGCTAACTTTCAGTGTTCTTTGAAAGAAACCATTCTCAACCCTGTTCAAATTGAGCACGTACTGATGGCTAGTTTCTGTTGATATGATGGAGTAGTTTTGTGTAGATGTGGAAGACGGTTCCCATGAAACTAATTATATCAGATGTATATTCATGTACATAAAAGTTAACACTAGTCCACCAGTAATTTGAGTAGCTTCAACTGTACATAAAATTAACATGTATATTAATGTACACAAACTCCACCCTGACAATCATTTATCAATAACATTTAAAACAACATAGATTAAAGAGCAAATATATGAAAACAGTATTAAAAATCATTTTGAAAATATATATTAACATTCAACTTCTTTTTAAGCATGAAGTCTGGATGACTTCTGAGAGACTGTCAATACCAACATCGTTTAGTTATGAGTTCTGTGAAAGTAGGTTATGAAAGTATATCTGACATGTTCATGATAGCATCACTGCCTTACCAGGTATTGAAACACCAGTATTATCTGAAACATGGCTCAATTTAATACTTTTTCTGATCTCATTACCACCTTTCTAACTTTTTAGATAATTGTTTTGAGCTTTTACAGGCTTGTTGATAATATCTGTTGTTTATTAACAATATTCAGTTTATAGATATGAAATTATTATTATTGATGTGCATCAGAGATGTAATGTTTTTTTTATGTCAAATTTAATTACACTTCACATTCACAAATGAATACATCATCTTTTGTAAATTATATTTCCTGAAATTGTATATTATGTACATTTGTCTTTTTGTTCCGATGTGTGTGCAATATGCGCAGCGATGTCATGTTAAGTTATTGTTGCTCCGTGTTGTGTACAGACGCTTGCATGGTAGACAACGTGTGAGGTGTGAGCCTAGACCGTTCTAGAATATATACAAATGCTATAAAGACTGATGGGATCTTGTGATACTGTTGTGTGATCTGAGACAATATAGGTGATAAAAGAAAACCATGGTTGTACATGCCTCATGCTATTGGAAAAATAAATGAATCTCATTTTCAATTTGTTTTGGTTTTAATTGGAAGATTTTTGTGGTTTTGTTTGTATTAATGGCAGCAAAATAACAGGCTTGAGGTACTGGGAATTCGTGTCAGAATAGGTCCCCAGCAAGCCTGTTTAACCAATACTTAAACCATGACTCCTTTGTCTTTGACTGTGGTCTAACTAACTGAATTGTTAGTTAAACACCACTTGGCAATGACGGAACTTCTTTTTTTCCCTATCATTTATCTTGATGATAGAACAATTTCATGAAAAACGTTTCTCGCCAGCAGAATTCTAACCCGCAAAATCCACACTGAAGCCTACTGAATGTAGTCTTCTGCCACGGCGCCATGGGAGAAATGGTATGAAATTAAAAACTAAATATTTACTTATATCAGTACTAATTGCTTATCCGTTGATGAACTGCGAAATGTGTGTTATGCAATTTTTAAACAGTAGGTTACTCTATGCATACTAGTATTTGTACACTACTTGTGATTTTGTAGCTTTTCGTTCAACGAAACGCACAGATAGAAAAGAAATTACTATTATCTTGATCAGGGCTATATTTGTTCATAATAGTCCCATCAACATGGGCAATTACTATTTAGGTGATTGATAAATGTGCACGTGCGAAAGGCTTGGGGGACACATTTCACGTGCTTCACGCAGGGCCGAATCGTTAACAAAACAATGTGTTTTAAGCGTTGTACTCGCGTTGTACTAGGTGCTATAAATGTTTGACATGGTTTAAGTCTGTTAGACCAGTCGGACCCCAGTGTCTAATCGTTGAAATGGATAATTAAACATTTCAACAATTGGACACTGGGTGCTCGTGGTCTAACCTATACTTTAACGGTGAAACGACTGAATGGTTTTAGTGGTCAGATTGGGTGACGTGCTTGGTTGTTGTTGTTGGTTTGTTGTTTTACGCCGCACTCAGCAATATTCCAGCTATATGACGGCGGTCTGTAAAGTAATCGAGTCTGGACCAGACAATCCAGTGATTGATATCATGCGCATCGATCCACGCAATTGGGATCGATGACATGCTTCAACCAAGTCAGCGAGCCTGACCACCCGATCCCTTTAGTCGCCTTTTACGACAAGCATAGTCGCCTTTTACGGCAAGCATGGGTTGCTGAAGACCTATTCTACCCCGGATCTTCACTTGGTTGTATGTCAGGGATTTAACATAGGGTTCAAGATTATTGCACTTGTATAGGGTGTGTGGTGTCTCTGTGTCCCAACTATGCAGGTTTTAAAGTGCTAGCTCACTGAGAAACCAGTCTGTAGTTTTAACATGGATACAACAGTACCCACCAGACCTTGTTTTATCCCCATAATGCCGAATGCCAGACAGGGTAACAACAAGTACCATCCCCCAACGTCCGACCTTCCGCTCCGGGCAGATGCTCTATCCACTACACGTGGCTGTCTGACCCAACCCAGTGCCTGGGACACTGCTCCGCTATATATATATAGGTGATTGATAAATGTGCACGTGCGAAAGGCTTGGGGAACACATTTCACGTGCTTCACGCAGGACCGAATCTTTAACAAAACAATGTTTTTTAAGCGTTGTACTTTCGTTGTACTAGGTGCTATAAATGTTTGACATGGTTTAAGTATGATAGACCACTCGGACCCCAGTGTCTAATCGTTGAAATGGATAATTAAACATTTCAACGATTGGACACTGGGTCCAATATATATATAGCGGAGCAGTTGAGCATCGATCCACGCAATTGGGATCGATGACATGCATCACCAAAGTCTGCGATCCTGACCATGCACCCGATCACGTTGGTCGCCTTTTACGTCAAGCATGGGTTGCTGAAGACCTATTCTACTCCGCATCTAGAGTCAAGGAGATGTCTTCATGAATGTATATTGAAAGATGCATCATTCAAGTTAAGAATAATTTTTTTTTGCATTTAACTTTATATATAGCACGATTTCTTTCTTCTGTTAGTATGTAAGCCATGTCCCAGGCATATAGACTAGCTGTGTTATATACACATATTTGTCAAAAATATTTGAAAAACCTTCACTTAAAATATCTTCCTATGCTAGAAATGTAGTCTTCTAAATACTACAAAAGTTGATTTGATGAGAAATGTTGCCATTATCTATAAATTCTTTATGTAACACTGTCATGTGCCATGTTTAATGTACTACAGGCCATGTTGCCCAAGATATTTAATAAAATCTGTTCTGTTCTGAATGGTGGAATGAATGATGGTGGTTCTGACTGATGAATAATGATTAAAAAAACACAAACCACTCACTGTGACTATTCTCTTAAACTGAAACTGCATGGGTTCCTGCCGCCAGTATCATTCGCGCGAAGGCGCACACTGAATGAGGCGACCGTAAAATAACCTGTTAGTCACCGACTCTTTGCTCTGACTTAAAAAAATAACCTTTTCTTATGCTGGTGAACTGGTGGGCGAAGATTACTCGCTATTGTCCTAAAGCCGCATTTCAGTTATGTTGTATTTCAGAAGTGTTTGAAAACCAAAATCTATAGTCTGGCTGTACAGTTCTGTCCGAATATAGATCTGATCAGCGTATGTAAATTCCGATGTCTGAGCCTTACGCTGAGTGTTCAACAGTTTTGCTGTAATGAATGATTAATGTTAATGTTGTTTAACGCCGCACTCAGCAATATTCCAGCTATATGACGGCGGTCTGTAAATAGTCGAGTCTGGACCAGACAATCCAGTGATTGTCATCATGAGTATCGATCCACGCAATTGGGATCAATAACATGCATCAACCAAGCCAGCGAGCCTGTCGTTGTAATGAAAAACATCATGAACACAATCCAATAAATTATGATACAACATGTATCCATCATGAACACAATCCAATAAACTATTATACAACATGTATCCATCATGAACACAGTCCAATAAACTATGATACTACATGTATCCATCATGAACACAATTCAATAAACAATTATACTACATGTATCCACCATGAACACAATTCAATAAACTATTATACAATATGTATCCATCATGAACACAATTCAATAAACTATTATACAACATGTATCAATGATGAACACAATTCAATGAACTATTATACATGTATCCATCATGAACACAATCCAATAAACTATTATACAACATGTATCCATCATGAACACAGTCCAATAAACTATGATACTACATGTATCCATCATGAACACAATTCAATAAACTATTGTACAACATGTATCCATCATGAACACAATTCAATAAACTATTATACATGTATCCATCATGAACACAATTCAATAAACTATTATACAACATGTATCCATCATGAACACAATTCAATAAACTATTATACAACATGTATCAAACATGAACACAATTCAATAAACTATTATACATGCATCCATCATGAACACAATTCAATAAACTATTATACATGTATCAAACATGAACCCAATCCAAAAAACTATTATACAACATGTATCCAACATGAACCCAATCCAAGAAACTATTATACAACATGTATCCACCATGAACCCAATCCAATAAACTATTATACAACATGTATCCATCATGAACACAATTCAATAAACTATTATACAACATGTATCCATCATGAAAACAATTAAATAAACTATTAACATGAACACAATTCAATAAACTATTACCATGAACACAATCCAATAAACTATTACACAACATGTATCCATCATGAACACAATTCAATAAACTATTATACAACATGTATCCATCATGAACACAATTCAATAAACTATTAACATGAACACAATTCAATAAACTATTAACATGAACACAATCCAATAAACTATTATACAACATGTATCCATCATGAACACAATTCAATAAACTATTATACACTATGTATCCATCATGAACACAATCCAAGAAACTATTATACAACATGCATCCATCATGAACACAATTCAATAAACTATTATACATGTATCCATCATGAACACAATTCAATAAACTATTATACAACATGTATCCATCATGAACACAATTCAATAAACTATTATACAACATGTATCAAACATGAACCCAATCCAATAAACTATTATACATGTATCCATCATGAACACAATTCAATAAACTATTATACATGTATCCATCATGAACACAATTCAATAAACTATTATACATCATGTATCAAACATGAACCCAATCCAATAAACTATTATACAACATGTATCAAACATGAACCCAATCCAATAAACTATTATACTACATGTATCCAACATGAACACAATCCAAGAAACTATTATACAACATGTATCCATCATGAACACAATCCAATAAACTATTATACAACATGTATCCATCATGAACACAATTCAATAAACTATTATAAACCATGTATCCATCATGAACACAATTCAATAATCTATTACCAACAAAGAAGGTTAATTTCATAAAAAAAAACATTACCATATATTTGAAAATAAGTCTTCCTGTATAACGTAACATAAATATTTTATTGAGATAGTAAAACATTTGTTCTACCTGGCCATGTTAAACTGTTTAGTCTTATCAATGTATCTGGCCATATAGTCTTTGATATGGTATATTCTTCTTCGGGCATTGGGGCGGTCGGGTAGCCTAGTGGTTAAAGCGTTCGCTCGTCACGCCGAAGACCCGGGCTCGAATCCCGACATGGGTACAATGTGTGAAGCCCATTTCTGGTGTCCCCCGCCGTGATATTGCTGGAATATTCCTAAAAGCGGCGTAAAAGCAAACTCACTCACTCACTCTTCTTCGGGCCGGACGTTTAAAGCGCCGCACTTCGCTGTGCAGGGTTGCGTCCCTTGGGCGCACAAGAAACTTTTGATTGTGAGTTCGAAGCCAAGTTCGCCCCGATTATGTTCAGGTTTGTCTTCCCCATACCTCTGCTAGTGGGTTTCACCAAAGTGATAAACGTCTGAGACCTGCATCACTTCTGCATTTCCTCCCACGTCAAGCTGACACGCCGTGACATAACTGGAATACTGTTTTAAGCGGCGTTAAACC